ACAAAAAAAAAAACAAAATCAAATTAATTGTCGAAACAGAGTTGCCACAAATTGTCGTGTATTTAACATTATACATTTGTGTTAGCGTTACAATACAGTATAATATTAAACCATAAGTCGTTAATAATAATAATAAATTTATGATAATGATGATACCTCAACCTCGAGACCTTTCTCTCCGTTAATATTTTTTTGTATTATTTTCATTGTATTTTCTTCCTGCTCCTGCTGCTGTTGTTTGCTGTTGTTTAGTTTAGTAGTGTTTATTGTGTGGTTGTGTCCTGGACAAGATAGACCTGGGATCCGGGCACCGATGATGTTGTGACGAAAGTGCGGTGCTTGGCCCTGATCAAGGTCAAGTTGCTCTCGGCGGTGTCGGCGCGGTCTTCGGCGGCCTCCAATTCGCGCTGGAAACGGCGCACGCGGGTCACACTTTGCTGGGAAACGCCCTCCTGGTAAAAGAATCAAAATTTGAAATAATAATCAAAAGTTGAAAATACTAGGATAGATTTCACCCTACTACTTAATTTTTTTGTTTATAAAGAAATGCTCGTTCTTACTTCTGGAAACACTTGACTTGGAATAAATATATACTGACTTAAGACTTAAGAGGATTGTTCGGTTTTTATTTATTTTTTTCGATTTTGAGATTTTTTGATATTATGAAAGCTAAAAACCTTAGAATTATTTAAAAAAAAAATCATTTCAATATCTAGTTTTTGACGAAGTTATAAATATATATATCTCTATATGTATGATCCTCTGAAACCGTTTCTTTCATCGCTCCGCGAGCTATTGAATGCCAGCTGCTCTCTTTTTCATTATAACACCTCATGCACATGACCTTTTTAATGTGTCAGCATCTTTGAACGCCATGGTGTATTTAGTACGTTAAATTAAATGGTGTATTTAGTACATTATATTAAAAGTTGTTATTATATTAACGTGTAATTTTATTTCAGTTAGTCCAAATCAAAGTATTAATTTGTGTGATTTTTACGGTTTGAATGAAAAGTAAAGCATGTAACTTACTAGTATTTGTAGTGTAGTCATATCTGTTTTGAAGTAAAACTTTTTTAAGTGCGACTAGAGTGTGTAAACAGTACAAATGCAACGGAAGTGTATCCGTACAAAAGATAAGACTCGTTAAGATTTTTTATTAATTTTTTAAGACTTTTATTCGAACTGAATTTTACTAGAACACACAAGAAATTTCTGGTTTATTCAAGTAAAACTTCTTTAGGCGCGTTACGGCAGATGAGATAAGATAAGAGTCGAGTGCTAATTATTCGTCATTCGCTCTCGATGATATCATTTCTATACGGGTCGATTGTGATTAGTCGTCGCGTATGTGAATAGAGATCTGTCGTTGTATAACAAGAAAATCGGCATAGATTAATAAACATTTTGAAGTTACATTGTAGTACAAATTTTGATTTAACGAAAAATGCCTCAATCAGAAGAATATTTTACCCTGTTCTTTGAAAATAATAAAACAAATTTAACATTTGTGCCGTGTACTAAACGTAAGTTTATTGATTAGAAATTATTTCTATATTATTAGTAAATAAAAAGGGACTCTACTGACGACCGAACTAAAAATGAAAAAAAGAGAGGGACTCTACTGACGAGCAAAATAAAAATTATATTCAAAAAGACTTTACTGATGATTTAATTAAAAATTAAAGAAAAGTGGACTCTACTGACGAGCATTCTAAAAATAACATTAAAAAAGGACTCTACTGACGAGCAAA